GCATTACCGACGAAGGCTGCAGAGACGAGGATGACCATTTCTGACCATTTCGCCGCCACTAGTCAGCGACACTCAACCCCAGGTGTTGGTGCATCCGAGAGTCGAGCCCGCGACCTGTTGGTTAAAAGTCAAATGCTCTAAACACTGCGCCACGGGCTCATTACCTTGCCGGTTTCGATCAGGCGCACACCAGTCGGTTACGTGTCTTGCCGATTATTGCAGTTATTGTACTAGGTCCTAATGAAAGGGGAACATTTTTATTTTGAAAGATAACTAGCATTTCCTAGGTTAAACGACACGTTGCGCTCTCTTTTCACAGGTACGAGCCTTCCTCAAGACCTGCCGTGTCGCCAACTTTACGCGCAATTTCAAAGTTCTGGTTAAAAAGGTGACGGAACATGCAGACTTTGTGAAGAAGAAACGCTCGTCTATCAAAAACCTGACGGACACACAGGCTATAGTAAGTTGTTCTGTTTTCAATCCTCCATGTGGTCCACGACTTTCACGTGTGCGTGTTTAAGTTTCGCATAAAAGTCGGATTGATTCATCAGCAGGGCTTGAGGAAGACAAACAGGATTATCAGATAATGACTTGTAGGTTAGACACGTGTCAGCAAAAACGTAGAATTAGACGACTCCGATGGGTGAGGGTGGGTGTGTGCATTTCTGGGTCATTTACCAAGTGTAGATTCTATGTTGCTTGCCTCTGGAGCCTAAACTTGTAATTCACTGGTTTTCTACCGGACTATCGTCCTCTACTTGAATTTAAGTTTGGCATCCAGTATATGCTCATTAAACCGCTTCAAGCGCAAACGATGTCAGTACCCTAAAAGACGAGTTCTGCGGAGCGGTTGAAGAAAGAGCGACTCGATTGCTTGAACGAGCAATTTTTCCTCCGATCTGTTGGATCTTAACCACCAGCAGAGTAGGGTACGTTATAATTGCACCATACGTAGACTGTAGTTGCTATACTAGTACTATCGAACGCAGCAGCCCCCGCGTTCCTAACAGAACGGTAATGCCCCAAAATGCATACTTCTGAATCTGCGGCTTCAAGTATCCGCACATACTCTTTCCTTTTAACCTATTACATAAAATTTCACGAGCTCAGTAAGTGTGATCCGTGGATTGTTTTTACTCAACAGCAAGTTGTGTATATCATTTAAGCCATAATTTTTAAATAATAATAAGCAGAGATGATTCCATAAAAACATATTTTTTTCATTACTGAATCCAGTAATAACGCTTGATTTGTTATTATTATTGTCGTATTATGAAACACAGAGTTAATGCGCTAGTTGCTTCGTTAAAATTGCGAACATCAGCCAATCGGCGCTACTGTCTGCGTATAATTAAAAATACGTTAAAACTTATTTTTTTGCTACTGCACTGTTAAATTCGGTAGAAGGAGATCACAGCTCATTAATACCCATTCAGTATTGCCTACCCCTGCCAGTAATGCCTCAAGACATTCTGGGTTGTAATTAAGGTAAAACCGTCTGGTAATGTTGCCTGAATATCTATTTCCCCGCCCAACTGTCTTACGTAATTTGTGGTTAAGCATTTAATTCTTGGTTAGCGAGTGTAAATGAATATTTAATTGTGTTGGACGTGATCAAAAAAATTAAATGAGGGAACCTATACTTGTTTCAGTGTACTAAATAGAATCAAATCCATCACCATAAATCCCTGTTGCTCAGGCAACTGATGCCTCCTGAGGGAAATTCAACCTTATATTGGTGGAAGTTCAATTTACTAAAAAAATTTAGAAGTGGGTTATTGTTATAAGTCATAGGCAAAAAGGACCTCTAAAGACAGCCCTGTCGTAATTATTATCTGCAAATTTTCAAGAGCAAGGACAATTTTAAAAAATACAGGAAAAATGTTGATTTTCAATTTCCCAAGACTTGGACTTGGAGCTTTATGGGTCTAGCCTGAACATTGATACGCGTATTTGGGCCGACTTCCGTGAGCCACAACGGGAACTCTCTCTTTCATTCCTCTTCCTTTATTCTGTCGGGTGACGCACACTAGAGTTCTGAGAAAAATGGCACATTTGATCGCATAGTCTCCCGCAGCACACCTTATTCCGAGTTTTTTTAAAGGTTGTGATTTGAAATAACGTGTTCTAAACCGTCGGGTAGTCCTGTTCCTAACCAGGGCCATTCACTAATACAGCCGTATTGTCTTTTGACAGCCCTGTCCGAGCTTCGAGGTTTCGAATTCTTAATCTGTAGGAACTGGAAAGTAGTAAGGGTGGCCTGTTAAAGAAATACCAACCTGGCATTAAGAAAAACGTCTCTTTCCACTTCTCATGCTGGCGCCTTTTATTGTCTAATCTTCGCCAACATACCCTGATCGTGTTCCTTTTTTCACACAGACAGCCGTTGAAGCCGGCCTGGTCAGCGCTACCGATAGCCCTCTGCTCACCTACTATGCACTTCATCGGAAGGCTCGCGTCCTAGAGCTCACTGGGCTTGCCGAACGATTCAAAAACGAGGCGAGTTTACTTCTTCATCCATTGGATGATTTTTTACATATTGGCTTTTGTTGTTATTTTTTTAAGCTGGTCTGCGAACAAATATGAACAGCATTGTCTTTAGGAGGCGTCGGAAAATGAAGGCCATTTTGTATAGTACAGTAGATTTTTTGTCTCATGTAATGCCAACCGATATGTGCATGAGGAGGTTCTTCTTTGGTGTACATTTGCGCACTCTCTTCGTCAATGAATTCGACCGCCTTGCATTTATCACCACGCGGAGGGAATCTTGGTCTTGAAACAAATAGACTGCCAAGTTAACTGGAGCTTACTTAGAACTGCGAACCAGACTTTTATTTTCATCTACCACCACAGTAAACCTAGCAACGGCACTGTAGTATGGAATATCTAGAAGTTGGAACCCGTAGATGGCCGGTATTTCATGCGAAATTCCGAAATTTGCGAAAAATTTACGATCAGTCGCAAACCGGTATTAAGTAGAATTGTAATACTACAGTATTACAGAATGAGTGCAACATGCCGACATATGCCAAAGATTGATACCCTTTCGATGATCGGCACTGACTCAGGTTGTGATGCTGATTATCATGTAGTCTATTATGAAGTCATTTTAGTCATGAAAGGATGCGAGCTTTTTAACGAGCTTCGTTCTGACCACTAACAAAATGCATATACTGTAAAAAGTAACTACTTAAATAGTATGCGTATTTATCATTGACTTTGACAGCCTTTATGGATTCAAAAATATTTTATGGAAAACGTAAATGAAACAATTACTTATTGTACTCGTTTGGTAGCGAATTACGCCTTCTTTAAATGTTATACTTAAGGAAAGGGTATCTCTCGGTTTTAAGAAATGTCTAATTATGAGTTTTTGTACGATTGTGAGGTGTTCATTCATAATAGGTCGTATCTGTAAATTTATTAATGCTGCCTATACTGTATAAGGCATGTTCCACACCTATTGCAGCATTTTATGCGAACTGTATGACTCCTTCCTCAAACTGTACGCGAAAACGCATTTTTCTTAAAACAAGATGTACACAGTGCGCAGTTTGTAAACCTTGAATTTGAGTGTAAAAGTCAGTCGGTTTCAAAATTATTCAGAAATTTAGAAACTTTTCTTAAAACCGAGAGATACCCTTTCTTTAAGTATAAAATTTAAAGAAGGCGTAATTTGCTACTAAACGACTACAAGAAATAAATTTTTCGTTTACGTTTTCCATAAAATCTATTTAAATTTATGAAGGCAGTCAAAATCAATGATTAAAGCGCATACTATTTAAGTAGTTACTTTTTAAAGTACGTACTTTTTGTTAGTGGTCAGAACGAAGCTCATTAAAAAGCCCGCATCCTTTCATGACTGAACTAACTTCAGAATAGACTACAC